CCCCATCCTGCCTCCCAACACAGATCCCCACACTAATACTCCCCAAATTTCTCCTCCTAGAACAATTCTTGCCCCTTCCAACAAAAATCTCCCTCCCCCCAATCTCCTTTTGGAGCCCACCCTCACCTCACAGTGCCCAGGACAGCTGCCCCTCCTGCCCACCCTTTGTCCCAGCCCTGCTTTCACAGTTCAGATCTTCAGCCAATCTGCGGTTTAAATAGTGAGGTCATCACCACTTGGAACTGTTTTAGCAGTTTTGGCACAATGGAGACCCGACTTGGTGACCCATATCTAGGCAGGTGTAGTCTGTTTTCTCCACTGTAGTTGACACCCTTCCAGAGTGGCAATGCAGCTTGAGGGGAAATTAAGGGAAACTGGGTTTCTCTTAAGTTCCTTCGGTTTCCTGGAGCAGTGTTCCGGTTGGGTACACTGCATCCAGGTGACCCTGGTGGCCATCTTGGGTCACGCAGAGTCTTCTTAAGTCTCCGTCCCCAGGTTTTGGCACGCATTTGTGAGGTGGCTAATGTAGGGAGAGCATACCAGTCTGTCAGAGACAACACTAGTGGCAGGGAAAGGTTGCGGAGGAGTAAGGAAAGCTACAGGGCTACGTCTTCAACTTCAGCAAGGTCCCTTTTGAGTTGGACCGGTTAGGCAGCATTTCCCCCTCCTTGGCAAGCGTTGTCATCTGATCAGGCCTACTACCGATGACTCTCTACTCCGTTGACTGTAAGTTCCAGGTCGGGTCAGCTTTCCCACTATTTTATTGTTTGCAAGTTCTTCAATACATCAATTATTGCATTCCAGGCCTCTGTGTTTACCGCTGCAGCACCACGCTGCACTTACCCAACATGTAGATGCTCTGTGGCATTATTTAAACATACAGTCAGCAAGAATTGTGAGATCAGGAAACCACTTAAAGTAGGGGTTTCTCACGAGCCACATTTGGCCTGTTACAAGGTTGTTTTTTTTTTTTGGCCACCAGCTAGGGTAAGTGTCATATCCTCAGTGTGCATGGATTGAGAATTAAGGTCAGGAGAGGCTGCCTCTGGATGGGGACCCAAATGTAAGGGGGGACCCTAATGTAAAGGGGAACTCTAATGGGGACCCTGATATACATGGGGACTCTGAGTACCGTGATGTAAAGGAGGACCCTGATGGGGACCCTGATTTTTAAGAACACACACGTTTACGCAAATTCTTTATGGAACATTTTAATCTCGGTCAACGAGATCCTGATTATAAACTTCGGTACACCATAATGACCATATGCAATTAGCCTTTAAAAATGCAGCAAAGCGAATGACATGATGCTAACTGCTTGTGTGTATTGAGACATTCGTCCTCGTGTACCTTTTTAAGGCTCGGACTCCATGATCTCGGAATCAATAAGTTCTTTGCTCATGGTATTTATTCATCTCCTTGTTTCTGTTATGTCCTATTTCTCTGGCATGTAATCCCATCCAGTACACAATTAACATACTCCTTGATTGCATTTTAACCTGCGTGTTTCCTACCCCCTCTTTTTCTCTTTTCCACTACCCCTGGGATTGGGAAAAAAAAAAAGTTCAATCACAAAAGGCCGATTGTCACCCTTAAAACCTGCCCAATTTATCATGTTCCCATTTCCTGTTGTCCGTAATAGGGCAGGACCCACCCTACTTGGCCTCTGCCAGACGATTGTGTGAGAATTGAGTTGGGAGTAGTACAAGAATCCCATTGTTGTCATAATCTGACAGCGGATATACAGAGCTCTGACTGTGAAGGCCTCGTTCTGCGTTGTTATAAATTCAGAAATATCTGAACGCGTTTCCTGGCTTCACTGTACACTTGATAAATTTGATATTTCCAGTCCATTCTTCTCTGTGTGATAATGTGCATGTAAGCAGAATATTATAAACCATACGGAACATTGCTTTCGACTGACAGTTCTCTTAAAGGAAAACTGCTAGGCTAGCATTTACATCAAAACCAGAGATTTTGTTTGCATATATTATGTCACATCAAGCACCTTTTACAATGTGTGGTCCTACTCGGGTGGACTGACAACTCATGGGGCCCCCGGGCAATAGGGGACCATGGGGCCCTTGTGTCCTTGCCCAAACTCAAAAAAGCCTACGAAAAAGGTACCAGGGGCATCTCATGGGGCCCCCTACTGACCCCAGGCCCTCGGGCAGTACCCGAGTTTCCAAATGGTCAGTCCACCCCTGGTCCTACTCCAATCTGTGGAGACACTTAATCTGGAACAAATGTAATACAATGCATACATTGGGGGCAGATCACTCCTGCAGGTATTTAAAAACACAACCCAATTAGTAAAGTTAAGCATTTATTTAAAAAATCAATCAAATAGAAGGAAAGGCAAAACTTTTTCATTTTGGATAGCGTAAAGGGGTGTTATACCCCTGTCAGGTTTTTTGTGCCATTTGTTTCACATTGGGGAGATTTTACTTCACTTCCTGTCCCAATGACAAAATGGGAAGTTAGAAGAAATTCTTTCAAAGTGGGGAAATTACTGGTTGTCACCAGAATTTGTGTCCCTATTGGAAGATTTCCCCTCCTATATTCTTCTGCAGACAACCCAAAATGTTTTTTTTTTTCAATGCTTTCGGTGAGAACCGTACGCAAGACAAATAGAGAGTGCGAATCTCCCAAACAGGGTTACAGACAGCAATAAAAACCTGACAGATATCTACTCCCTCTCCACTTTGTCCAAAATGTAAAAAGCTGTGATTTCAGTTATACCTTCGTAACATTTAGAATACTGTTGTGTAAACTGTTAAATGTAAAACACATTAATTTAACTTGGTATCAGCCTCCTCTATTTCCCTTTGTAGCAGACCTAGACTAGGATGGGAAGGGGCACTTCGAGCCAGTCCCATGTCAGATGTGCTGATCAGCACGCTGCTCCTCCCTTACTGTCCAATCACAGGCTGGGCACATATGGAAGGAGCACCAGACCAGAAGATAAGTCCAAACTCATGCAACGCGTTTCAGGGGTTACAGGAACACGAAACGCGTTGGATGTCTTTTAACATAGCATTAAATGAATTTGGACTCTTGAATTTTGGCTCTCTTTCCAGATGTGCGCACTTTTTTTCTTGGTAACCTGCTGGAGTACCCACAGGGTGGCCTTGCCTATTGTGAGCAACCTAGCCTGCGTCACTGAGCTTTTGATTTTTTTTTTTTTTTTTTTCCCCCCTCCTACTACCTTGTTTAAACTCGTATCAAAGTCTCAGCGCCTCTTGGATGCCCTTTTTTTTTCATTGCAATCACAGGGAGCCAGGGAGGTAACCTAACTGTGTTGCCTAACTGCAGCAGAGAAAAGTCAGATCACTGGGTTGGCTTTGTGGTTGGACTGTTTTAATCTTCAGACTGGATGGATTGAAACAAATATTTTGCCAGACAAGGTGTGCATTTCAACTGTGTATTTAGCTGTTCACAAGGAGTTCACATTTAAAGTTTTTTACTTCTGTGTGTCTGTTGAAGTATTGCACTTCTGCCTGTTATAGGGACTAGAAAGGGAGGGACATCTCTTAAACGGAGACAGAAGCTGCAAAAAAAAACCCCACGTTTTTCAGTAAGGATTGTTACTTCTGTCAGTTTTTTTTTTTTTTTTTTTCTCTTTTGTTCCACATTTTTGACATTTGTGTTCGATTCCACAAGGCCCTATGTGTCAGGGTGTAATAGGAGGTAAGCCGGGTGTTTCCCCAAAAGGGAGAGTAATACAAACATTAAAGGTTCTAAGCCTTTCTCGTGTTGTCCAGCATTTTAGAGTAGTTGTATTTTGGATGGGACGTAACAATTTATAGTTTTATATGTTAGATGTAGTCTAATATTGTCTCTTTCTGTTCTCTGCAGAGATTCTTCTCAGAGGTGGCAGCCTGTTCCAGGAACTAAAGCAGCCATGTTGGTGAAAGTGAATAGCCTGAGACAGATGCCAGTGTCATCTTCCAATTCATCGCTGCAGAACAGTATACCAAAGAATTCCATAAGCCGATCCAGTGGCTATGCGCAGGTTCTACCTTCTGCTCTGCCGGCTAAACCTTTTGTGGATCCCAAGCAATCCATGCAAGTTAAGAAAACGGACAATGGTGGATTTTGTTTAGTTTTAACTAAAGGGGCCACTTGTCAGACTCCACAAAGGACGCCTACAGGTACATTACAGCCCTCATCTCCCCGGTATGGATCTCCACCACCCATTTATGATGAGCCCTCTCTAGACTCTCCCATTTATGATGAACCTCCTGCTGATATGGACTTTGAGAGTATGACTGTACGCTCTCTTTCTCCTCCAGTATCTCCAACAAATAGCCTACAGAGCCACTCACAAACCCCAAAACTTCTGCCCTATCCAGGCCTTCATCAGAATAAACACAAGAGGAACCCCTCTGCTACAGAATACAGCCCAGCAGGCAGGGAGTACATAAAGCACATGGTCAATGTCGACCAGTCATCAAAACAGACTATCTCTCCTACTGGCTCTCTTGATGTTCCAACTAAACATCAGCCTGGTCAGTTGGCTCTAAAGGACAGTTTCAAGAATTCTTGGAGGGTCTTGGAAGCAAATGTTCTGAAAAACATGGAGGCCCACCACAATCGGCAAAACAGCCTTCCTCAAGACTACCCTACAGTGGTAAGCCAGCAGGACTCTGGTTACTCCACGGGTCCTTCTCCTAGTTTGAGGAAAAGAAAGGGCAGGAGACAGGGCACTGCTCAGATAAGGCCTGGTTCAGTTGGCAGTAGCAGTGAACTCAATGCACTGAACGAAAAACTTATTGCTGAGATGAGGTCAGTTGTCTGTAGGACTGCAGTTACTAGGGGCAGCAAGGCTAGTTTGGACACAGACATGATAGAAAACATTGCTCCGGACAGTAACAAAGTGCGATTTCAAGAGTCCTTAAAAAACAGTTCAGGGAGAGGGTCAAGGGATGATGTCACAGCCAGTAGTAGGTCATTGTACAGACCAGGAATAGAGGTCCGGGATAGCAGTAAAGGAGAAATAATTGTACAACCGGAAGTGGTACGACAAAAACGGACGTACGAGAAGATGGACTGCTTGGAGAAGAAAGTCACCAGCCAAACAAGTCTCCTGTCATCAGAGTCCACCAGAACAGTGTCTCAGGTATGTGTCTGTTTATTTACACACATTTCATCTATATTCTTGTTCCTTGCTGATCACCTTTTTTTAATTTTGTTGCTTCTTTGTGGTGCATATCTCCTGTAGTCTCTTTGCCACCATTTGCTGCCTATGTTCAAGCAAAGGCCTAATAGCATTTTTTTCCTGATGGTGACTACCATGGATCATGCCTGTGCAATATGCACTGACAAGTCCATGTAAAAAGGGAGAACTGGGAGACAGGGACAGAGCATTGTCATGGCAAGATCATTTTGATCATGTTTTTTAGGTCCCTATTAGGGGCGGACTGACCATTTGGAAACTTGGGCACTGCCCGAGGGCCCGGGGTCAGTAGGGGTCCCCATGAGATGCCCCTGATACCTTTTTCATAGGCTTTTTTGAGTTTGGGCAAGGACACAGGGGCCCCATGATCCCCTATTGCCCAGGGGCCCCATGAGTTGTCAGTCCGCCCTTGGTCCCTATACAGGGGTGGCAAGAGCTTCTGCACATGTGAACAAGCCCTGAAAATCAGTAGGTGCATTTTGTTTTTTGTAGTGTTTGAAAATATTTTTTGGATCTAAAATCTATGAGTGCCAAAGAAAACCCTGTTGTGAGAACCTCATTTTCAGACGCACAAACCAAACTTGCTGGAAGTTGACTTGCTGGAGGAAAATAGAAAGCATTGTATGGTTTATAAGCACTGAAATCAGCTTATTTGCGTTGATTTTTAGCCATGTCTTGTGTCGATAAAACGTCTGCTGGTGTAACATTACCCCAAGCTTTCCTTACTAATGAAAAATACAGCCAGGCACTTGTGTGACATTAATAAAAGGTATTCTGTTCCAGATGTAAAAACATTTTACAGGATCCTGTAGCTGTTTTTCCAGTTAATCTGCATTCATCAATAGTCTGGGTTCTGGTAAAGCAATCAGGACGAGTTATAGATCTTTTATGTAAAAAAGCCGGACGTTTGAGCACTATGAATAGCCTGCCTGCTTAATAAACATTATTCAAATAATCAGCTTCTGATTGCAGCGTTTGATGAGCAGCAGCTGCAAGTGTCGGCCAAGAGGGCTGTCTGCTAGGCTTTTAACAACCAAACAGACCCTTCCTATCATCTCCCAACCTGCCCTAGAAAAATGACAGCTGGAACCTGTTCTGCCTGTACAATAAAAAACACTTTTCCTTCTGGAAAATTTTAAAGGGAACCCATCAGAATAGAAGGGGCAGCTGCCATTGCTTACATGTGTTAAAAACCCAACTCCGGGCAAATATTTAAAAATAAAAATGAAAATGCAGCTCTTGTTACAGTATTTCGTACAGCACAAGTTCTTCACATTTTCTCAGCCACCAGACTAAAACTGCTAAAGGATGGAAAACCCCTTGTTTAAAGGTTAAGTTCATATTTAAAAAAAATACTAAATTTTTTTAGGGTAAAACAATGTGTGTGTGTGTGTGTGTGTGTGTGTGTGTATATATGTATATATATATATATATATATATATATATATATAATTTTTTTTTTTTTATTAGGCGCCTGTAAAGCTTTGCACTTGTGATCAGCAGATCCACTGGTGCAATGCAGGGCTCCTGTAGACTCGGTGCAAGTGGTCTGCTTGTACCTCATACGAGAAGTCAGTTACACACTGACGGGAAGAACCACGAACTACCTAAACCGTTCAACAGTGCCCTTGTAGTACATTGAGAACTACAAGGCACCCTCCGCAAAGGCTGTCAGTACATGTAGTTCATTAACTACAACTCTGTGAATGAATGACGAGGCCATGTGGATGGAGATGCACATAGCTGCGCTCTTTTCAAATAGTCCCTATTTGAAAATCCCTAACTTGCTGTCACAGGGAGAGGGGGGATCGGGGAGCTGCTGCAGGAGTGGGAACATGTTACATGTTCCACCCCAAAAATGGATGGAACATGTATTATTCTTCTCCTAGATTGTAAGCTCGAAAGAGCAGGGCCCTCGAACCCCTCGTGTAGTGTATTGGCACTGTCTTGTCTCATGTTCTGTCCCCCTTGCTACTGTACAGCGCTGAGCATACCCATTGGCGCTATATATATACTGTATAATAATATAATATTCTGTTCCTAAAAGTGAACTTATCCTTTAAGATGTGAAGTGGTAAAAAATAGATTATCAGGCAATCCTGATAAATGAAAAGCTGACTGCAGTAATGGCTAACAACAATGCCAAATGTCTTATTTGACAACCTTGGATACCTTACGGTTACTGACTCCCTATTGATCATCTGATCCTAACTTGAGCTGACGCCCTGGGACTTTTTGCTGCTTCTTTCCCCATCCCTTAGTTTTTTTCAATTTTTTTATTAGTTTTATTGAAAAACATGTAGCAGAACAAGCAACTAGAGAAGACTGGCCATCTTGTTGCATTGCGCGTATAGAGCGTATAGAGCATACAAAGAGATACAAAAGACAGATGTACAACATATTAAGTGTATAGGGGCCAGATAGGTTCTTCAGGTAAGTAGGTTGGGTATGGAAAAAGTACACCATGGAAAAAAAAAAATCAAGGTAAAACCTGTGAGTTAGGCTATGACATTTAATTGTAACGGATGATCTAGTCAGAAGGCTGTAGAATACTCTGAACCATAGTCTATGAATGGTGTCATATTATGGCCTGAGAAGAACAGAGGTAGAAAGAATGCTAAGAACTGAGTGGACCAAGGTGGTGAACTGGCAGGCTCAGCCGTGGCGATGGTATCATTAGCAGGGCATAGGGCCCATATTGTGATGTAAGAGAAAGGGAGAAGCAAAAAAAAAGGGGGAGGGAGAAGACAAAGGGTGCAGGAAGAAGAGGGTCCCTGAGGGTTGTGTGACCAAAGTTGTTTGGCGCTTCAAGTATGCCTATTGGGGTGTGTCACCATGGTAAAAGCGCACTCATCAAAGTCAGGTGGGAGACTGTTCCATGGTTGCCAGGTTGCCTTGAATTTTCTTATCTGGTCCCTTTCTAGGGCTTCTAGTTTAGCTTGAGTTATGGTGCGGTGTATTCTATGTTTGGTTTCAGTCAAAATCAAAGAAGAGGATCTCCCCCTTTGGCTGTTGTCTGTTTTTGTTTTCTTACCTTTTTTTTTTTTTTTTTTTTTTTTTTCCGCTTGCTTTCCCCTTTATCATTTTCCTTTCCTGTCTTACACTTTATTGCTTGCCTTCTAATTTTACTGCTTCTACCTTTGCAACATCTCCCAAGCTATTCTTTTTTACCTCTATACAAATGCTCCTCAGCCTTACATGACAAGCTCATGTTGACCATGTTTTTTTGAGTCCCTATACAGATTTTAGGACTTTGAGCTGTCAAACTCATGAGGTTCTCTCTCCTAACATATCTTTAACAGTGTAATTGGTCACCTCGAAAAACTTTATTGTGCTTCAGCTATGCTATTGATATTTGCTTATGTCCATGATAATCTTCCTTCTGTTCCTTGGCCTTACATGGCAAGATCAGTTTGACCACATTTTTCAGGCCCCTATACAGATTTTAGGACTTTGAGCTGTTAAACTTCTGACGTTCCCTCACGCAACATATTTTTGACCATTGGTCACCTTTTTTAATGTAACTGTGCTTCAACTATGCTGTTGATATTTGCGTATGTCCATGATAATCTTCCTTAATGTCAATACTGTATCATTTGGTTTCTTTCTCAATAAACATTTGAGAAAGAGAGCCTAAGCAAGCTATCCACTTGCCTGAACGGTCACGATGAAAGTGGGAGGATGGGGTTAGGGGGTTTGTGTAAACCTATGCAAATACTGACTTTCAGCTAGAACCTTTTGTAGGATGCAATGACATTTCCACAGGCCTTGTACTGATAAGGATGGTACTGTATGTTTCGGCACTTGATGGAGCTTTTCAGCTTATTCTTGCCCAATCTACATTGTTATATTGTTTAAAGTTCTACAGCTAAATGCTATATTTCCCTTTTTTCAGCTCAGCCTTATTTCTCTTCAGATCTGGGCTATAAATATTACTTTTAGTTATTTTAGAATTGAAATTTCACCTGGAACCACCTATCCGACCACAGCTTGATTTTTGTTCTCTTTAAAAATACAGCAGAGACCACAGTCCTGGGCACAGCAGGTGTGTGGTTTTCTTCCTCCAGTGTGGAGCCAGAAGAACGTGTGCACACTTACTATTGTGACCGTCTAAACTTGTTCTGTAAGAAAACAACCTACTCTAGGTGTGGTGACTCTTTCAATTGCAGCTCCAGCCAAATTTTTTTTATGTAATAGTTTGGATAGGGTGGGGAAGGGTTAGAATCTCTTGTTATATTTTTACTGCTTTCTGTGTCCCATTTTGGATGATTTCCCCTCACTATCATAAAGATGGTGATCACTGGGACAAGATGTGGGAAGACACCACCCCCAGTGGAGACACAGACAGCAGTAAGACTAAAAAAAGGATCTAACCCTTCCTCTTTTTTTGTTCAGATAAAAAAATGAATAAACATGTCTGGGGCTTACTTTAACATATGCTTTGGTTAACTCCAAAAAACTTTTTTTTTTTTTTTTTATGGGTAGCATGATGAAGGGTTAGCACCTCTACAATGTTTAATAGCCATCTTTGTTTTAATGGAGAAAGGCCTGACCTCACTTTTTGTTGGGACTGTCCAATGGAGACGGAAGGCCATGAAAACCCTTTTTCTTAATAAAACAGAGAAGAGAAAATCCATTACCTTTTATATTGCTATCTCTGTCTTCCTGCTTTTGGTGTCACTTGTTCCCTATTTCTGGTATCAGGACAGGAAGTGAGAGGAAACTTCTGCTACGTGGACACAGACCACATTAAAATTCATAGAGATTCTGGGGGACATTTATCAAAATTGGTACAAACAGAATGAGTAGTTTTGCATGGCAACCAATCCACTTTCATTTTCAAAGCTTAACTGAACAAGTTGAAAATAGAAGCTAGAAGCTGGTTGGTTGCCATAACTTCAGATTTGAGCATGAGAGCAACAAAAGCCAAATGCGTACCTTCACTTTTTTACATGCTTTTTGAGACTGGTTGATATTCCCATCAGGACATAAAAATAATCAAGTTTTGTAAATAATATGAAGAATTAGCTAGAAAAAGATGGATGGTGATGCATCTTTATCTGCGTTTCTCTTGCGAAGCTTTAAATAAATGCAACTTATGTTTTCTGATTGCAGAGTGGAACACTGGAAGCCAATCCAAGCTGTGAAAATCGTGGACAGACGACTTTTGGCTCTAGTTATCAATTCAATTATACCACTTTGAGAAAACCACTTTCTCAAACCAGCATGGTAGACTGGGCCTCGAAGAACCTTAACATGCATACACAGGGCATCTTCCGAAGGAGAATCTCAATTTCCAACATGCTCTCATGGAACGGAGGCTCTATCAAGAAGCCCATGTTGATTACCAGCAATCGGGTTATCAAGAAAGAGGCTTGTGAGATGTTTAAGCTGGTGCAAATATACATGGGTGACCGCCAGGCTCGGACAGACAGAAACGAGGTGGCTCTGGTGATGGTCACCAAGTGTTGGACCTTGCAGGGATTGCGGGATGAGCTGTACATGCAGCTGGTGAGACAAACCACCAACAACATGTCATACAAGAGTCTGTCCTTAGGATGGGAGCTAATTGCCATTAGTTTAGGATTCTTTTCTCCATCTCCGAAATTCCAGTCCTACTTGGAAGGTTACATCTACAGGCACCTGGAGGAAGCAAGCGACCAGAACAGTAAGTGTTGACCTCTTTGTTTTTTGTACTTATTACAATGGCCATTAGGTAATAACTAGTTTCCCCAAAGCAAACAGACTATTTCATTTTTAGGTAGCTTCTAAAGTTTTGAATATATCTCCACTTTTTGTGACTAGTTTATTGACTTGAGTACCTGTATACACAACTTCCAAGCTATACCCACCACTTGCAGATGTTAAGTGAAGGTCATAAGGTCATTTTGAAACATTTGTGCTGTTCAAATTGACCCATGGTCTTTTAAGTGAAGTTCCCATGTGTTGATCAGATGTCGTTTTGAAAGTGCTAGAGTTTCAGAGGGCTCTGCAAGTGCATGTCCCCCATTCCCAAACAGGACTAGGTCTGCAAATTCAGTAAGCCCCATAGCTGCAATTATCCTACAGTTATTGCTGGATTACCAGTTTGTTTTACACTCATGGAAGATACGGATGGAGGAGTAAAATCCCTGTTTCAAAAGGATAATTGAAACCTCTGTTGTACTGTTGGATGAAGCCAACTGCCAAACTCCAATGATGTGATGTAGGAAACTTGATATTTCACCCATAGCTAAAATATCAGTTGTTGGTAATCTGGCACTTTACAGAAATAAAGCATCTCTTGAGATTTGGTTTTTGCGTTTGACAGTGTATATGCTTTGTGCTGTTACTTTTAACTTATTCTATACAGTCCAGACTTATCTTGAGCAAATGTGTTGCAGATAATTGCTCTGATGTGCACATGGTATACGGCCGAACAGTTCAACTTCCTTCTTTACATTCATAGGATTCTCATATATGTCATCCTTACTGTGCAGATTTTTTTCCCATATGTAGTACTACCACCTTAGGAGTCACTGAAGAATTGGGTCCCCCAATAATCCTACACAGCCAGGCATCACATTTTCCATTCAGACTTGCTTCAGGAGACAGAAAACCAGTCCTTGGGCTTTGTTTTGAAGCTTTATTGGGGATATAGAACTTGGATAGGGTAAGGGGTGTATGGGATGCCCAGAGGTAATGTTAACAGAGGATAAAACTTCCTGAACTATATTACAAGTCTTTACACAGAAATCCTCTTCTAGGACAGCACCCCAGCCTCTCTTGGTGTACCACCCCAGAAAAAGCCTCTTATTTATTCAGCTAATCTGGAGGATTCCCTGGGCAAGGAAGTCCAAGCTGCCACTTGAAATGTAACAGTCACGGGTGTAGAGCTAGTCAGCTTCCCACCCAAATGCTTTCACCCCTTGTTGGCCCAAGGGGTGTAGGAGTACTCACTGAGTCCTTCTCCTGTGCTGCTGTTGGGTAGGTGGCTGCTACCAGGCCTATCGGCTGGGACTCTCCTTCCCTGCTGCCAGGTGTTCCTCTTTCAGGGGGCCAGTGAAGACATCGCTTTCTTTCCTTCAAGGTCCATTCTGCCTGGAGGTGAGCCCCTTCCAGCCTGGGCTCCCTCCCAGGCTCCTGCATCTCAGCCTCACTTCTCCATCTTTCACTCGAACACTGTCCTCCTGCTACTGAGCAGGCTCCAACACTTTTAAGGGTGTCCTAGCCACTTACCAAGCCTTTTATTTGGGATTGGCTGAGGTCCCTCAAGAGTGAAGCAAGCCCCTCTTAAGATCCACCCACTGCCTCTAGAGCCTCCATCCAAAGCTACAGAGCAGGGGGAGATTCCAGAGGGGCTGGCCTGCAGAGCCTCTCAGCTCTGACCACAATTTGACCCCAGTCTGGCTATTACACCTGAGCTGCTACTCAGCCCCTGTCTAACCATTGGAGTCTAGCTTCCCCTAGCTACCTAGGAGGGCGCTACATTTATTAAGAGATCTTTTAACAGAGTTTTAATTTTAGTTTATTTGACCAATTGGAGAATGGTCATGTCCTTTTTGAATTTCCTACAAGATCTCCTGCCCCTGGGTGGTAGGCTTAACAATCTGTTGGCTGTAATAGGTTTTGCTGGACAATTTTATTTTTTTTATTCCTTAGATCTAATTCCTGCAGGGCTTCCCACTTCCCTCTCCATAGACACAAAGCTACAAGTGCATCTGCTGTCGAATTCCATGCTTATAGCAAGATATGATAGCTGGATAATGTTGTTCTCTGCCCAAAGGCATAAGATATTGGTTTAAAGAGAAATGAACGTTTGAAGAGGTGATTCCTTACCTATGAAAAATCAAATTTTTAATTAAAAGAACTTTTACAGAAGACCAATATCGCATAAAATTTTGTTCTGTTGCCTGGCTGAACTACGCTCCCAGACCTTCCAACCAGTGGTACAAGGCTGACTGTTGAATCTGTGAGCTAATGCTCTTTAGTATTTTGTGGCATTATTTCTATACACAGATCCACTGCTGACTTTTTGACCCTCCCCTCTCCCCCTCTCCTTTTTTGGAGAACCTGTAAATCCCCTTGGGGACTGGGAAAGACCTAACCTCCAGTCACGATGGTCCACTATTTCAGAAGACCACCTCTACATCCGGTCCCCCCACCAGATTGGAATACCGGACTGCCACTCTCTAGCGTAGATAGGTTACTGATTTTTTTTTTCTGAGTTTCAGAAGATTAAACCTTAAGGTTGTTCTTATGTATACCTTTATGATGCACACCTGGCTTACTGCCTAATCCCTTAGGGGCAGAGTACTTTTCTTTTTTAAAGGAGGTCCTTCTCAACTTGGGCAACCCACATCACTCCTTCCTTTTCAACTCTTTCCCTTCCTCATTTCTTCCTCGATCCCCCTTTCTTCCCTTTCTCCCTTCCTCTTTCCCTTGTCTCCTTTCTATATCTTTACTGCTCTAGAGTCTATTGTTTACAATAGCCCACATGGAGAACCCTTCTGTAAGATTGTATTTAGTTGCTATTAAAGCTCCTAACGGGGCCTTATTTTGAATATAGAACTTGGAACCTTCCCATCTTTTGGAGAGCCCAAGCTTGATACCTATGGTTATTTAAATGTTTTGTTCAGCTTGACATATCAACCACACAGGGCCTACTGATATGCAAGGTCTTCCTTCAGGAGTAGCCCTGCCTGATATTGACCTGGTTTTCCCCCTTTTACAATCTTCCTTTTTCCCCTCCCCAAAAGAACCAGACTAGGATCACACAGAAGATCATAACTGGGTTTAATTTTAGCCTTTGAATCTTAATCATCTAGCACTAAAAGATATATATATTGCTTGTCTTATTGTTTGTTGTTTATCTGTTCTACATAACTGGGTTCACAGACACTGGCAAGATCTCTCCTCCACTAAATGGGCAAATTTCTGCGGTGTAATACTTTTCCTAACCCTTGACAAATGTAATTGTTCCTTATATTGCTAACTGCCTCTGTGGACCTCAGGAACCCTAGGTGACTACCCCCTTCCCCTCCCTTCCCCTATGCTCTGTTTGGGCATATACTACCCCCCTCTCTTCCCCCCCCTTGTAGGTTTTTTGAGGGCCCACCTAGTTGCCTACCCTATCACCTTCAACACTTTGGCCCTGGGTCTTGCATATTACCAGGCTCTTCTCACAGCTCTTGCGAAACGGCAGAGGTTATCCAGGCAATGGTTTAGTGCAATCTCACCCCTCCCTTTTTTTTTTTTTTTTTTTTTTTTTTTTTTTTTTTTAAAAAGACAAAAAAAAAAAAAAAGAAAAAAAAAAAAATAACCCTTTTGTGTCTTGTCTTCTCTTTCGCCACTGGGCGATATCCGGCTTTTTTTTTTTTACTGTCTGGCTTATACGCATACCTTACACTTATAGTACCATGGCTTTTAACTGACTGACTTTGAATGTCCAAGGCCTCGAAAATGTGTGAAATAGACATAGCTTGCCCACAGGAGAAACACTTGACTTCAACGCATATGCCAGGCTTTTTTGATAGTCTCTATGCTCATATCTACCATGCCAGTGCGCTGGTTAAAAATATGGGGTCCTCATTGCGATTTGCAACACCTTACCATTCCAGGTACACTAAGTCATTGCGGACCCACAAGGTCGATACTTTATCCTAATAAGCACCTTTCATGACCCAGAGGTGACCTTATACACGTACTGCAACCTTAGCCAGAGGCAAACACAATTTCTCTCTCATCTACTCTGTTGCAAACTCACAAAAAGGGACCCCTGCTCTTGGTTCTCAATCCCTCTATGGACAAGTGACCGATGGGCTCACTTACTTCTTCCCCTCCCTACTTGACATTTGCCACATTGCTTAAAACTCACAACTTAATGAACGCCAAGTGCAAATTTCATCCTACGTCCAATGATTATACATATTTCTCTCTGGTCACTCCCGTATTGATCACATCTTTGTGTCCCCTACCTTTCTTCCTCAACTTTCTGCTACGATCATTCTGATGGTTCCCTGGTCAGATCATGACCCAGTGATCACATACTGCAATGCCCCTTTGCTCCCACTGCGATAAACTTCATGGAGTCTTAAAAATTCCCTTCTCTTTCTCACAAGTGGTGGAAGATATCAAAACACATTCTAAAAAGAGGAAAAAAATGGTTCTGTTTAGCTAGAATTGCTAGACTTTTTTTTTTTTTTTTTTTGTCCAAGCCTAAATTTATTTCACGTCTATTTTTCACTGATAAGGTAATCATTACAAAAAAAAATAAATATCAGTAATGCCTGTACATTTCCTGTACCTTTCAAAAGTGAAAATTATTTGCATTT